GCCCAGGATCAGACATTGTTTCGTTCTGCTGTGCATGGGGTCGCTATGAGTCGGTTCCGACTCGATGGCACCTGACAACAACAACAATGCATCAGACTGCCAAGTTTTGAACTGCAAAGTCAGTAGTTCAAGCTCACCAGCTGCTCCTTGGAAACCCTATATAGGGTCACTGTGGGTCAGAATCAATTTGATGGCACTTAACTAAGTAAATGATAAGAAGAGAGTCATGGTGTGGCACTGTGGGCTAATGCACTGCACTGCAAAATCAGTGTGATCTGCAAGTTAGTGGTTCAAGCTCACCATCCATTCCTTAGAAACCCTATTCAGGTTGCTATGGGTCAGAACTGACTTGACAGCACTTACCAACAACAGCAACAGTGACAGGAAAACAGAATTGAGTCCTTTTGAAAAATAATTAGGAGTCCATACAAAAATCCGGCATAGTTAAAAAGTAAGGAAGTCATTGGAAATCCATTGGAAAATCCATTGGATTTTCAAATTTGAAAACTCTCTTCTAGAAATAGTAAAAGAAAACTATTACCATTTTGGAAGCAAAGTCATATTTTAATTATGAAGTGATGAAAGAAAATGGCAAATGACTAGCTATAAGAATATTTAAGCATATAGACTTTTATGAAACTTGGAGAACATTAAAGTAAAAAGGTAAATACAGGGAAAGATTTATAATAAATGTGATAGGTAAACCAAGATCTCACAAGTACATAAAGGAACTTATCAGCAAAAACCCCAAACCTCTGGTAAACAAATGGTCAAGACATATGAATACACAGTTCACAAAATTTTTAAAAAACACACACAATAAATATTTGAAAACTATTCAGCCACATATCTAAATTTAAATGATAATGAGCCACTATTACACACCTGTTGAATATGAAAAATAATATAACAGTTCTGGGTCACTATGCAGAAGAATCACAGCTGATTTCATTAGTCAGACTAGAGCGTGATTCATCTTTTTTTTTTTTCAAGCTATATGACAGTATGTAGTGAGAGCCAGAGAAATGGGCCCACCCACTTACCAGAAATCTAATTACTAAGAAGTTGTTCATAGGAAATTTCTTCCCAAGAGAAGAACATTATTAATCATTGTCATTGGGTGGTGGTGCCGTAGGGTAAGCACTGAACTTCTAACTGCAAGGTTGCAGGTTCAGACACAACCAGCCACTCTATGGAAACCGTGTGCAGGACCACTATGAGTCTGAACCAACTCAATGGTGCTTAACGACAACCACCACCACCAAATACTAACCAAACTCTACCCCAAAAATAAGTCCAAAATATTGATACGTCCTTCAGAAGTCTACTGAGGGAGAAAGCAAGTCTGGTGCCCGACTCCTCATGGAAGCCTCTGACCCTGACTACCCTTGTGCTGTGGGACACCAGTGAGATATGGGTCAAGAAGGAAGTTGGCTAAGTTATGTTTCAGACTTTCATCTTCAAAATGCATGTTAGTATCACTGTCCTACCTGCATTACGATTCAGGGAATAGAATAATCTAAGAAGAACACTGGACTGTTAACAGATAGGTCGGCAGTTCAAACACACCAGCCTCTCTCAGACATCTTATCCAGGTGTTATGAATTAGAACTGACTCGACAGCACACCACAAGAAGAAGAAGAATGTATCTTCGATTTTGTCCCCCTCCTCAAGAATGGTAAACTAAACAAACCTAACTAGAAAGCTGGCTAGGGGCCAAAGAGCGAGGCAGAGGATGGCAGTGGAATCTTTAGAAATTGTCAGATTTACAGTAATTCTCATGTATCAGAATATTGCTGTTGTTGTTAGTGTCATTGAGTTTGTACCAACTAATGGCAGCCCCTTGCCCAGCAGAAGGAAACACTGCCTGGTCTTCAACCAACCTCACAACAGTTGCTATGCTTGAGTCCATTGCTGCTGCCACTGTACCAGTCCGTCTCATTAAGGGTCTTCCTCTTTTTCTCCGACCTTACACTTTACCAAACATGGTATCGTTCTCCAGTGACTGGTTGCGCCTGATAACATGTCCAAAGTATGAGAGATGAAGTCTGGCCAAACTGGCTTCCAAGGAGCATTCTGGGTGTACTTCTTCCAGCACAGATCGGTTTGTTCTTTTGGCAGTCCTTGGTACTTTTAATATTCTCCAACATTGTAACTCAAATGCATCAATTCTTCTTTGGCTTCCTTATTCACTTTCCTACTTTCGCATGCATATGAGATTATTGAAAATACCATGGCTTGGGTCTGGCGCACCTTAGGCCTCAAACTGACTTCTTTGCTCTTCACCACTTGAAAGTGGTTTTGTGCAGATTTGCCAATATCGGAATACTGGAAGTAGATAATTAGTGTTTTCATTAATGTCTGTTGAATAGATGTTGTCTTAGATGATCATAGTTGTTCTTGTTGTAAGTGCTGTGAAGTTGGTTCCAACTCATAGCAACTCTGTATAGGATTTCCAAGGAGCAGCTGGTGCGTTTGAACTACCAAATTTGTGGTTCAAGCCGACCTTGCATCCCAATGCTTTATCCCACAGCACCACACCAGAAACAGGCTTCAAAGACACAATTAAAATTGATTGTCAGAGGCTTTCACTTGAGTGGCATCCAGGGCAGAGGCATTTAGATCATCAAAACCTTTCTTCCCATGGATGGCAGAAGTTGAGCTCTTTCCAGGACTGTCTCTGCATGTGACTGTTGTCCAACAGCATAATTAAAGCCCAATGTCACTGAGTCAGTACCGACTCATGGCGACCAGATGTAGGATCTCTGAGGCTGTAAATCTTTACGGGAACAGACAGCCTCATTATTCTCCTGCAGAGCTGCTGATGTGTTTGAACTGCCTACCTTGTGCCAAACACCTAAACCATAGTACCACCAGGGTGCTTTAAACCATATAATAAGCATGCATTTTTATGAAGAGACTATGTACTGATTTTCTATTTCAGTTCTGAAGTTTCAGCTTAATGGTAATACAGTGATTATAAAGTTACTGATATTTGACCAGCATGTGAATATGTGTGCAAACATAAATAAAGGTCAGACATACTGGGTAGTCTTAATGGGAACATGGTTAGTTAAAAACCGAAAGAATAAAACTGATTCCTACATAGATGAAAAATGGAAAGCCAGATTTAATTTATTAAATGAACTTAAATTATCTCAAAATTAATAAATGAAAACTGTTTCATGCCAACAGCAGCAGTGTCTAAAGTAGAGGTCAATGTCAGGGATTTGCTGTTTGTTAGCTAGGAGACCACCCTCTTTCAGTGTTTATCCATTCATCATGGGCTGCAAAAGACCCAATGGAAAGCCAGTTACTTTGAAATTTTCAGTACAGTCTTGTGACTTTTTTTCTTTTTTCCTCTGATGGTTAAGTTTTTAAGTCAACTAGCCACTTGCTTTCTGCACTGCAGCAAGCAATTTTCAGAATCAGAACCTTTCTTTTCCTTTCATTCCTGTAAATGCAAAGTCCAAACTTTCTTTCCTCTGTAGTTGTAACAAAGACATAGGAGAAGCGCTTTTGTTTGTGAACACAGGTTTAGTTTCATCTGAGCTCATATGTTTATGGTCCTGATGGCCCTGCTAGTCCTCGCCCTCAGCAGGCATGACAAATGGCTAAGACATTCAATACCAACCACACGCAGATTTGGTTTTCCTTTCAGTTTTCCAGCCATGGTTCCAGCAACCTAGAGAGTTCATGGGCATTATTTGCAAGTAATTTTATTTTGTCTTCTCAGCTTTAGATCAAGAAGGATTAGTCTAATGATGAAATCATCCTTGTATTTTCCTTTTGATATTGCTAAATGCATTATCACCCCTTTGATATGGGTAAGAAACTGACATTGACATAAATTGGTTTGTTTTAAAAGTTTATTTGAAGGGCTGACTTGTTAAAAGCGTAAACTATGCCAAACGTCCCACCTTGGAGTCCGGGTGTGGTGCTGTGGGCTAATGCACTGGACTGCAAAGTCAGTGGTTCAAGCTCACCAGCCACTCCTAGGAGACCTTATATAGGGCCACTGTGAGTCAGAACTGACTCCATGGCACCTAACAACAAATGTTCCACCTCATCCAGGTGAGCCAAAGAATGGGAAAGAGAAATGATACAGGGAACATGTATGGAGTTTGTTGTTGTTGTTAAGTGCCGTCAAGTCGATTCCAACCCATAGCAACCCTATATAGGGTTTCCAAAGAGCATCTGGTGAGTTTGAACCACCGACCTTGCAGTTCAAACGACTTTGCAGTCTGACGCATTAGCCCACAGCACCACTATGTTTGTCTGTGTCGACTAGTCAGTCAAGTCCCGCCTCCCACACTTCTTCTGTGGTTTTATTAGGACCATTTGGTTCAATGTCATAATTACTTCATGACTGAATATTTGTCATCACAGAAAGAAGCTGTGAAGGAATAAGCTGTCCCCTACTGGAAACTGTCACTAAGATGAGCTGTTTCACAAAGTGCTTTAGTGTCTGTACTTTGTCAAAACGCGTTCTGTTTGCATATCAAACCCCTCTGCCAGCCCGTCCCCCTCCCCCTCAGGCTTTTCAGAGCCTCAGTAAACTCTTTGTGAAACTACACTGCTGGAAGAACTCTATTTTTGGCTTCTTGCCTCCTGACCAGTAGGACCTTGTTTCTCCCCAAGGAAGGTCTGAATGGCTGCCAGTAGCAATTCTTTTTCTCTCAAAGATGTGGGTATTTTATCAATTAGGGAAAAACTAGATAAGGCAAGCTGAGATGGTTTCATCCAGATAGTTAGGCCTAGCCATCAGAGGCAAATGCCAAGGGTCTTTAAAAAACAGTCCATGGAATTTTTCCATGAACTTTGTTGAAGCCCCCTTGTATATTAAGAAAGATAGCATCATGACCAAATTGTTACTGAGTGGCATAAATTAGGGGAATCAGTGGAACGCTTTTTAAAAGTGAGAAAAGCTATCATTTTCTTTTGCATTCCTTTTTATCAGTAGTTACATTCACTCAGGATTAAAAATGTATCTGCTGTTTTGTTGTTGTTTTGGGTTTGTTTTTTAATGTTCTGTTATTTGGGGCCCTTGAGAACACAGGTTAGCTTGGGCAGTTACTCCTCTCCCCCTCCCCCAGTACCTCCCATCATTCCTGCCCCTCCTAATTTAGTCATATCACATCATGGACAGAACTACATTTGTTTCATTTTTGGCACTGCCAAAATGATGCCCTTTAACATAATTAAACTACAAATGATTTTGTTGTAGGCAGAAACCCTACTACTAGTAACTACTCAGTACCTAACTAGTAGCAGATGGTCTTTCTGGAAAAGTTATTACAAAAGGTTCTTCCATCTCTGAGAAGACAGAAGTGTGGAGAAGGATATTCTTAAGCTTTGCAGAAATGTGGGCTGGAGGACGTCTGTGTTCGTACTGCCAGGGTTTGGAAATCCGGATGGAGGAAGAGTCTGGAGAATCCCCTGTGCGCTCTGCCCCATTTTCAGGGGGTACTCAGACCTTGATTGGGGCACCGGTGGGTCTTCAGCTCTCTGCCCAAGATGTTCCAGCTCCAGGTTTTCTTCACATGCTCCTGGCAGCCTTAGACATTGCCACCCTTTTTAACTAATAGTGCGTGACCCTACATCAACCAAACAAGCAGGTAGCCTCGAGGCCTTAGGCAGCTCTCCCAGCAGCCAGAGGGAAACAGAATGGGACCAATTAAGAACAGAGTACAGTGACACGGGCCCAAATGTATTTTCTCAGCCATTAATCAAATCGTTTTATATATATAAAGTGTGCAGTATTAATTCACTAATTCACCTACTGTAGTCATGGGATTCCAACTGAAAATACATGTATGTTCAGAGAGGGGCATTAGCGGGTGTGGGAAAGCAAATAGTTGGATCTGTGTCCAAGTCTCACTTCCACATTGTTGAAAACATGATGTTTTTTCACTACATATCATTCCAAACTGCTGGGCCAATGTTTTGTGACAGTGTTTTGTTTCCAGAGTTGGGCCAACTCAGTACCTCTTCCGAAGAATATCATATTCCTTTGTATCCTGAGCTTTTGAAGTACTGACTCTGAAGTTACCGGTGCCAAGAATACAAATGACCATGTGCTAAGATAAGGCATTGTAGTCATACTGATCATTGTTCCTTCTGCTATAAATACTGTGCCCCTCACATCTTCCTATAAAGGGTTCTAGTGAGAAGACCTAGCTAATCTCCCTCACTCACCACCACGATCTTCACATTGCGAGACATCTTAGAGTGAGTCATAAAAAGATTCACTAGGAATTGTGGCAAGTGTTTATGATTGGGTTTGCATGTGTGTGTCATGCCATGTGTTTGTTGTACGCTGACAGCCTGCACCCAGTTCAGCATCACAGTATAAACACATTGTTGAGCATCACACGAAACTGATTCTTCCAAGTGTACGCTTACATGCTCAGGCGCACACACTATATTTTTACATGGGCTCCATAGGTTCTCAAGTGCAGAGAGATATTTCTGTTCATAGGAAAATTCTAAATCTTCTTTCAGGTCTTGACTCAGATGAAGAACGTGGGCTGATTTGTCACCACACGTCCTATCTAGGTGACTGTCTGGGGGTGATCACTGGCTCTTGATCCTTTGTAAACTTTTCCTCTGTATTTCATATGTCTGCACGTCTGCATGGTTACCTAAGCTCTGGGGGTTGGGGACGTGGAGGGGAGAGCTGTTTGGGCTTTCTGTCTCCAGATGCTTTATGGAGTTTGGGGAAAACTTGAGAAATTCATCTCCTGGTTACTGTTAATCAAATCATCCTCAACCTCTGCCTCATACACAGTTGGTAGCTTGGCCATTTGGGGGGGATGTGGAAAGCAGAAAGCAAATTGGCTCTAGCAAATACAAGATCTGCTGGTTTTCTTCATGGTTGTGATGTGCATCTGCCATACACCCAGGAAGGACAGCCAATCTCTATGCTTTCTCATTGTCAGAAGCTTGCCTGAGTTTGTTTTTGTTTTGTTTGTTTTGTTTTAAGCAGAGCAGTAACCGAGCTGCAAGGGGTAGGGCGATTTTATTTTATTTAGCTACAAAACTCATTTCCAATAAGCAGCGGTATGGTGGGCTATTATTGAACCCCTTTCTACATGTGTCTTTCCCCTGCCCAGACCAGCGAGTGGCTTCCTTCTGTACGCTGACAGACATGCAGGACTTGGAAGGAGCTCAGGAGCTACCCTTATGCGGAGATCCAAGCAATGGGAAGGATTTCTTGGACACCACTGGGTATGTGAATCTCTGTGTCCCCCCTCACTCCTTCATCCCCAGTCCCCTTAGAGAACAGTTTCTCAGCTTTCCCCAGCCAGCCCAGGAGACCCTGTCCCAATGACATGACCTAGTCCCAGGCCTCAGAATCTAGAGAGAAGCCCAGTGCTTCTCTCCTGCCCACACCGAATGACTGCTTGATGCCGGGGTGGGTGGGCCCTACTTGCTGGGACAGGTTGAGGACAGTCAGTACCTTACTCAGGAAGGTAAAACTGCACTGAAAGAGGGCAGAGCTAGACTCTTCGGAATCCACGCCTGCCACCTAATTTCCAGGAAGGTACACACCTTGCTGCTCTCAGCCCTCCACCTGCCTCAGCTGCCACACGTTCTCTTCTGGCCACAGCATGTGTCTCCTCACGATCCCTCCTCTTGGCCCATGCTTTCTGTTAAGTGCTCTGGAAATAAACCATCTCTTTCTCTAAATCTGTGACAGGTTTATCCCTCTTAGAATATAGATTCTTTCCCTGTGTCATCTATTCCAAACTCCAGTTGGTATATGGGCTTGTCAGTACCATGTTTGCTCCCCTTGGTAATGGGATTCCTGATGGTTTCGTTATAGGGAAAAGCAGATTGGGGATGTTGAATCGGTATTTGGTGCTCAGGACTTCATTCTGGTCTACTTTGCCTCAGTTGGCTATGTTCATTTAAGTAGGCTTTCCTACCAACTCATATGTCTCTAGAGATTTGAACCACCTTTATAAGTCAGTAGAGACCAAGGAAGGATTTTGTACCAAAGCAGCAATAGGCACACTTTCTCAATGTGGTATAATGCTGTTTATTTCCTTGCATGTGAAATAATGTTGAATGAAAACAATCAAAAAAACCTGAATGAAATGTCTTCATTTCAACCTCATTGAGTCTTGCTTCCTTCGTTGCTAGGGAGCGATCTCCATCAACACTGACTGGAAAAGTCAATCAGCTGGAGTTAATTCTCCAACAACTGCAAACTGACCTTCAGAAGGTAAGGTGTAATCTGTTTTAGACTCATATTCGGAACACTTTCTCTTATACTGCTGCTCCAGTTTAACTGCTAACCAATGGAAATGAAAAAGCCAAGAAAGATAACCACTCTAAATGAAAGCAAACAAGAGCCAGAAGGACTGAATAATAGATTTCATTCGAGGGGACACGAGGATCGCAATGGCTAGGACTGTAACTGAGACAAGCCCTCTGAATGGTAGAGGTTTTCTTCAGTGAATTGGCAAGATAATTACACCAAATATTTATGTGCTGACATGGGAGGAGTTTTCTGCCAGGAAGCCTGGGGTCCCCAAGCTGCTGTGCTCTTGCTGGGTCAGCACCACTACCCTCAGGGTTTCGGTTCCACACATCAGCCCCATGGGTTGACGCTGAAAAGGGATTTAATAATTTATTGCACCAGCATTTGCTGAGCTCTCGGAGTATCATCTGCTTACTGTTAGACCCTTTAGATACATCAAGAGCCAGTGTCTGCCTCATATAGCTCACAGCCTCCTAGGGTGACGGACCAAGTAGAGGTGTCCATTTAGTGGTGTGGAGTTTAACTATGATAAAAGCTTGCACAGTGTCCAGCCACAGATGGGTAGAGGTCAACCGCATTCCAGGCAGAGGGGCCCTCTTGTAGAGCATATGGTTGGGGGATTGCAGTGCTATGTATGAGTCAGCATGAGACAAGGGCAAGGAGAGATGAAGCTGGACAGGAAACCTGGGACCAAACTACAGCGCCTACTCTCTGTTAAAGATCAAAGTAAGAGGCGACCCTGGGAGGACTGGAGGAGGGTCAGCTGCAGATGGTGGTGCCAGGTTGGGCATGAGGCTGGAGATAGGAGATTGTGCTGGCGTGCAGCAAGAAGAGTTGTTGTTAAGTGCCGTCAAGTCGATTCTGTCCGATAGTGACCCTGTATGGGGTTTCCAAGGAGCAGCTGGTGAGGTTGAACCTTGACACATTAGCCCACAGCGCCACACCGCCACACCACAGAGTGACCATTAATTAGGAAGGGCGGAGCCAGCCCAGGGGCAGGTAGCAAATGAGCTGCAGGGAAGAGATGAATTTGAGCTAGAATGCAGTGAAGGGGAGAGAGACAGGTGTAGAGAGAGGCAGGCAGTTAACCAAAGAGAGCCTGTGACCACTTCTGTCTCACGTGGGAGTTACCCATTCACTCCTTCAGTGACTGAGAACCTGTGACAGAATTCTAGGCTTTAGGAACATAAGACAACAACGCCCTCACAGTGTCTGGCTAGGCCACATAAAGAGATAATGCCAGTGGTGAAAATTGTGACAAAGAAAAATCAAGTAGGGTAAAGGGACTTTCAAAAAGTTCAGACAATTTTTCTACACATTTTTTGAAACTCCCTTACATATGACTCAGTTGGGGAGAGGTAGAGAAGGTCTTTTCTGAGGTGGTGACATCTGATTGAGCAGGCACAGGGTTACTCATCAGCACAGAGCCAGGGATACAAATATCAAGCAGTTAGTGTGTCCCAGGCTGGGCGAAGAGCTTGTAGAAGAGCCTGAGACAGACATGAGTTCAGTGTGGGTTCGGAAGGCCAGTCTATCTAGAGTCGGGCACTGGAAGGAAATGAGGCAGCAGGGGCCAAGCAAGCTGCTCTTTCACGATGAAGAGGAACTTCTGATTTTGTTTCAAGTTGATTGAAAGCCATTGGCAGGTCTTGAGCAAGAGCTGATATAATCAGACTTTTGTTTTAAACTGTCACCCCAGCTGCTTTTTGGGGAATAATGGATGGTGAGGGGAAGAGGGACAAGAGAGGAAGCAGTTTATGCAAAGGTGTTTGGAATGGTGAGGAGTGGCCACAAGACTTGCTGATGTATTGGATTTGAGAATACAACCCAAGATGACCGTAGGTTTGGGCCTGAAAGGCTGGTAGCATCTCCTCAGATGGGAAGTATCATGACTCAGCAGGGGTAGGGAGGGCATCATGGGAAGGGAAGAGGAGGACATTAGGTAAATGAGATGGAGACAGCACAGGAGTGTGCTGTGTCCAAAACCAACTAAGGAAAGGAGGTGAGAGGTCAGATGCTGCTGAGAGAACTGACTGAAGGATTTGAGACAACATGGTAATAGTTTGCTCTTCAGTGTCACCTACTAGTGGTAGACTCGGGAGGAGTGCACTCAGGAGGGAACACAGGGGAATTGCAGAGGAGAGGGAGTTTTGTTGTTGTTGTTCTGCTATCCTAAGAGCCCTGGTGTGGCGCTGCAGGGTAATACACTGGACCACAAGGTCATTTGAATCATAAGGTTGGCAGTTCAAAGTCACCAACCTCTCCTTGGAAACCCTATACAGGGTCGATGTGAGTCAGAACTGACTCAATAGCACTTTACAACATCTTAGGTGGTGCGATGCCTCCATAATCCTTGGACTGTGAACCACAAGGTCAGCAGTTCAAGTCCACCAGCTGCCCCATGGGAAAAAGATAAGGCTTTGTGTTAACCTTATACAGGGTCTCTGAGTTGGAACCAACTCAACAGCACTTCACAACATCATCATCCCAGGAAAAAAACACTAGGGTTCGGCTAAGAGTGATTGGGGGGTGGGGGTGGGGGCAGGGAAGGGTTTTGTTGTAGCTACTACTTCGTTGTTGTTGTTGTTGTTAAGTACTGTGGAGTTGATTCCAACTCATAGCGACCCTGCACAGGGTTCCCAAGGCTGCAGATCTTTACAGGAGCAGAACACCTGGTAGTTTCGAACTGCCGACCTTAAGGTTAGCAGCCCGATTCATAACCACTATGCTACCAGAGCTCCTTGTTTAAAGAGGGATAAATGATAGGAGATAGAAATGGTGCTGTTGGGAAAAAAATAATGAGGAAGGAGGAAGATGCCGATCGAGGCAAGCAGGGACCATCCGTATGCAGTGACCAGAAGTGTATCCCCACACACAGCTTTGGCTGGCCAGCCTTTCTTTTTAGTGTCCCTTCTCTTCCCAGTCATGTGCGGGGTGAGTAGTAGGAATGTGAGTATAAGAGGTTTGAGAAAAACAGATAAAGTGTGAAATGCTCTTTTGAGTAGAAGAGACACTGACTAGGTGTATTTGGTGTAATTGCCAACCAAGGCACATTTGAAGCATGCCACGTACGTTAAAGTGAGGTCAACAGAGCTCAGTGGTGTTCTCCAGACTGGATGACCAACCATCTCTGCTTGCCTAACACTTAGAGGTTTACTGGGCAAGAACTGGGACTGTCCAGGCAAGCTGGGGTGTCTGGTCACCCTGCTGCTAGCTGAAGATACAGACTACAGCTTCATCAGGAAAGCAAGACAAGACAAGAGAGGCGATAGGACGATAGGAATGAGATTAAACCACTTTGAACAGCAAGGTTGGCGGTTCAAACCCACTAGTCATTCCTCAGAAACCATGTACAGGGTCACTGTGGGTCAGAACTGACTCGATGGAACTGAATGAGAACAACAGTGGGCTAGACTGTTACTGGAGGGGAGGGGCTAGGTTTTGAAGAAAATTTTTTTATATAAAGTAGGAAATAGGAGTTTGGAACAGTTTGAGGGAATAGCAAGAGAGGATATGGCTAAAGGTGTGGCACTGAAAAAGGTGGATTTCCAGACTACTGCCAGGCTATGTGTCCAGAGCATTTGGGTGGAGCTGAACTAGGAAGGGTGACAAGGCGGGTGGGGAGTGAACCAGGCCCCGGAATCTTCCATTGGGAATTCAGAGATTGCAATGAGGGCAGCTAGCAGGTCTTCCCCCTAAGGGCAACCTGGACTACACAGTGAGAAACAAGTTCACAGACTCTAGGTCCAGCCCTGTGTTCTTTGGGATATGGAAGGAATGTAGCCGGCATTGAGGTCTCAGTGGTGGGGTGTGGACAGGTGGGCAGTGGGGTCAGAGTCCTGGGAATGATGGCGGAGCACGATCTGCCTGCTGTGACTTATAGAAAGTCAGGCAGCAGATATGGTTATTCCCGATGTCACAAGGTTTCTGTCATCACTTGTAATTCAAGACACCCTTTTGGGACTGGTTTTCTAGGCCAGTGATGGAGAGACCAAAGGGAAATCAAGGTATAGAATAAACCTTGAGTGTGGGGCCACACAGGCCAAGGGATTCCTGGAGAACTATGGGCTAGCAATCGGTCAGATACCATTTAAAATATCTTGATGGTTACAATCTGAGGATGAGCCTGCTTCCACTGTCTGGGGAAAGGCATCCCTGTCAGTTCTTGGGAAACTGAAACTTGTACATACTTGTTTAGAAAAATGGTATAGCTGAAGAACGGAAGCAAGGGCCTGAGTACTTAGGCATACTTCATAGCTATGTTAATTCTCACAGTTACCAAAAGGTACCCATGGAAAACTCTGCATTGATTAAAGGATGTTACTTTTAACAGCTTAGCGTAGTCTCACTATATGGTCCTCATATGCAGAAGCCTTCTTGGTACCTATTGGGAGCCAAATGGAATGAAAGGAGGAGAGACTGGGCCGAGTTGTTCACGACAAGTCACCTCACTGAAAAAAGAAATTCCCCTCAAGAGGTTAAGAAATAGAGGATTGTCAGTTTCTAGTTGAGGCAAGCGATAAGCTTAGAAAGAGAGAATTGGCACTTTTCCCTCCATGACTCGCTTTGGTTCTCCTGCCCCCAGGAAAAGCAGGACAAGGCAGTTCTCCAAGCTGAAGTTCAGCATTTGAGACAAGACAACATGCGGCTGCAGGAGGAGTCCCAAACGGCGACAGCTCAGCTACGGAAATTCACAGAATGGTTTTTCAACACCATAGACAAAAAATCCTGAGCAGTTCAGACCCCTCCAAGGGCCCACTATGAAGATACCGTGGTCCCCGCCAAGTGGCAAAATGTGCTTTCTAACTGTGCTTTCAGTCAGTCGTAGATGTTTTTGCACACCCAGCTGGTCCAGCACCGTTCAGCAGCATGATCTGGAACGCCGATTCCTTGATGGTGGCCCCTTGTGAGAGCAGAGGACAATGCTAATGTGAAGATGAATGTAAACCCCTTGGTCTGTTCGGGACCTTTTCCTTTTAGATTTCACTACAATGGTGCTCTGGCAGGGGCTTGCCTCAAGAGGGAAGGTTGTTGGGGTGTATTTCCTATAGATCAGGTGACCTGGTAGAGATGTTTAAGCATTTTACCATAGTTTGGGCTTTAGTATTGTAAAATAACATAAAATCAAATAATCAGACATATGCTTTAATGTTAAAGGTGCTCTATTTTTTGTATGTACAGTTGCTTCTTTCCACAGCCACATCATCATAGCAATAAGAATGGAGGGCGTAGTAAGTAGCTGGAAAAGCTGTGGTGGGGGGAAGAGGACAAAAAAGCACTGATAGGTTTAATACTAGTTGAATGCAGTTACCTTAGAGACTAATTTATTTGCAGGAGCAAATGGTGCCTGAATATTAACAGTGTTCTGATTTAAAAAAAAAAAAAAAAAAGGATACATATGCCTTGTCAATGGCTCACTGAGTAGTCACTTCAAGTCCTAGTTCACTTTTGTATAGTTACTGCTCGCTCTGCTGAAAAAAAGGGTAAATCTGCTGAATTACTAGAACTTTCCTATCTGCCGTGAGCCCACTGGATCACTTGTACAATGCCCAATTTGTTTTATCTTTGTACAGAAGCTTTGATGAAGTGTCTTGTATTTAACACCCTTATTTAAGCTTATTTAACCTTAAATTGTTAATTTTATAAAATTTGGTTTTATCTGCACTATGATGAGTAAGGTAGATAGCAGCCAGCTCAGGAGAGCCTCGACGTGCCCCAGACATCAACTGAGAAGTAGAGGGGAGAAAGTTAACAATTGGATGCTGCTAGGACACAAGTTGTTTGTATTGCTTTACCATTTTTAACTGTTATATTTGAGATGAACATACATTTTGCTTTTTTAATAAATGTTTAAAAGAAGTCCACATAAGTAATTGTGGTGTCAGGTGAACGATAATTTTTATGATCTAAGACTGTCAACAAGCTGATCTTGATCTGTAGTAAACCAGCTGCCTTCTTAGAGATTCCCAAACTGATTTAAAGTATAAATAGCCATTATATATTAATATTTGCCTTCTGCCAGGCATTAGTCCTTTTCATTCATCTCATTTAATCCTACAGTATCCTTAATAAGTAGATAGTGGGATCTCATTTTACAAGTAAGTAAACTAAGACTCAAAATTGCATTTTGTTTGTTTCTTAAATCTTATTCTGCAAAGAATTTGATGTTGCTTACAATTAATAGTAAATTTAAGTAACAGTGGTATTAACTGGTCTCCCTTGTAGGCCTATCAATATTACCCTGTCACAGACACGATTATATACTTGAAGCTAAATCTTGAAATGTTCTTTTTAATGAAGGATGCGACACCATTCCTCTTCAATTTGTCATCCCGACTTGATAAGCCATATGATTATTGGATTCAAAATGACTCATACCAGTCCACTGCACTCAGTAATGCCTAGATCATTGGAGTTGGGGACGTCCGGACCACGCGTCATATAAGGCCTGTGAAATCATTTGGTCTGGCCATCATGTTGTTGTTATGTGCTGTGGAGTCGGTTCCTACACATAGCGACACTGTATAGGGTTTCCGAGGCTGTAAATCTTTATGGCCATCACATTGGAGGTGAGTTAATTAAGCGTTTGACCCAATACAGCAGGCTAATTTTCAATTGATGATTTTGTAACGCCCAAGAATGATGCTATAAATTTTGGCAGAAAAAGGGTTCCCTGGCCTAGGATATCGATGTTTATGTGTTCCATTTCAATTTTGACAACTTTCATCTTTCCTAGATTCATACTTCACACATTCCATGTTCTGATTATTATGGATGTTTACAGCTGTTTCTCCTCATTTTGCGTTGTACTCCACCAGCAAATGGAGGTTCCAAGGGCTTTACTCCATTCACATCATCATGGTCCACTCTCCTTTGAGGAGCCAGCTCCCCAATTGTATTATGAGTGCCTTCCGACCTGAGGGGTTCATCTTCTGGCACTACATTGGACATTATTCTAGTACTATTCATAATGTTTCCATATTCAATATCATGATCACATCTGACAGTCTTCCACTGAACATACTGAACATTCAGAAGTAAATGGCCTCTCCTTCTTCCTAGTCTTATTCTGGAAGCTCTGCTGAAACCTGTCCACCATGGGTCACCCTGCCAGCATTCAAAATACCAGTAACATACCTTCCAGCAGCACACAAGCCACCACAGTCCTACAATTCAAATTAAAAGCACCAACAACTAAAACAGTGATATAGTGAAATGGAATTCTACCAACTTCTTTAATCAAACACGTAATCAAGATGTATTGATGACGCAAGGTTGGAAACAAAGAAGGATCAGTACTTGGAAAATATGGCCTTGGTGATAGAAATCATGCTAGAGATTACATGATATGATAGAATGTTGTAAGACCAATGATTTTTTTGTTCCAAATACCTTGTTTAAAAACACAAGAGGCGACTATACACCTGAATCTCACTAGATGGAATACAGAGAAATCAAATTGGCTACATCTGTAGAAAGAGACGGAGGAAAAGTTCGATATTATTCAGCTAAGACAAGACCAGGGGCATACTGTGGAACAGGTCATCAGTTGCTCATATGCAAGTTCAGACTGAAGCTGAAGAAAATTAAAACAAGCCCATGAGAGCCAAAATATGACCAAGAACTTTTCCAATCTTAAGAGACCATCTCAAGAACAGATTTGATACATTAGACACTAATGATTGAAAACTAGAAGAGTTGTGGCATAACATCAAGAACATTCTACAGGAAGAAAGAAAAAAGTCGTTAAGAAGTCAAGAAAGGAGAATACTGGACAAAGCAGGTTCAGGGAATGGTGTGTGTGAGAACTCTGAACTCTAAAGGAGTATTCTGAGGGAAGGATGAAGGCTTACTGCTAGTGGTATTTGTAGCTGAAGCAAGAAAGCTGGTGTTCCTCTGATCTGCAGCTGCCGGAAGTTTCCTGAGCGGCCATCTTAAATATGATGGAGCTGACACACAAGCTCCCATTGCAGGGGTCTGGCCAATCGGCAGAGACAAAGGGGTGAACTTTTTTGTTGTTGTTTCTGTTCATTTGACTCACACTGTCTGTGTACCTCCACTCTGGTGACTAGAGGAGGTGCCTGAGCCAGTGGACACCCTCCCACCCTGGAGGGTTCTACTATGTGTGCCCACAGATCTACTCTGGAAAGATCACTGGGCACAGAATCACTGGGCACAGAATTGAGGAAAGGGGAAGAGGAGGGAGTCAACAGGAACTGCTTGAAATGGAACAGTCTCCTAAAACAGCTGTTTCTCACTAGGAGAAACACATGAATGAGGTTGAGGAGGGGGAGAGAGTCAGACAAAAAAGGAAAAAGGCTGAAAAATAAACCTTAAGTCACATCATTGTTGTTGTTGTTATGTGCTATGGAGTCGGTTCTGACTCATAGCGACCCTGTACAGGGTTTCCAAGGCTGTAAATCTTTACGGGAGCAGAAAGCCTCATCTTTCTCCCTCGGAACAGCTGGTAGTTTCGAACTGCTGACCCTGAGGTTCACAGCCCGATTCATAACCAGTACGCTACCAGAGCTCCTTAAGGAACAAAATAACATCTTGAAATTTCTCAGGCAGCCTTGAAGGCAAGAAACTGAGAGGGGGACATTAAAGTCTTACTCACACTTTACAGTGGTTTGTTTTTGTTGTTGTTGTTGTTTTGTGTGTGTGTGTGAGAGAGAGAGAGACAAATATACACTTTACCCTCCAATCTTTTTTTGCCATTGTCTTTTTTTGGTCCCCCTTTTACCTTGGAGAAGGGGCTCTATTTCTCCCTACGTACCCAAGAAGAAACAGTGATTGTCGTCATATAGCCAAGCTACAATAGCATCCTCTAAAATCCCACCATCCAGCCAAGAGCCAATACCACCTGCTATATACGCCATATAGATAGCCAACACTTGCTACATTTACTCTGAGTTGAGTAATAGGAGAAGTGAAAAGTAAGCCCGTCTCCTGATCACAAAGGCAATCAAAAAGCTTAATAATATATCAATGTACATTCATCTAATTTTTTTTAATGTTTATATTGTGGTTTGAGTGAAAGTTTACAGGGCATATCATCAGTTGTACGTTCAACAAATCATACACCTTGTTTCATTACAATGATTATAATCCCCTCCATGTACCATCAGTTAACAGTATTTGTCTATATTCACTTTAGGTTAAAAACAAAAACACAACACCATATGTTTAGTAGAACCACTTTTGAAAAAGGGTAGAACTACAAGAAAGAAACTGGACACACAGAGGAACTAAACAACACAATAAACCAACTTCATAGATGTATACAGAGCATTCAATCCAACAAGAGCACAATACACATTCTTTTCCTGTGAACATGGAACAATCTCCAGAATAGATAGACCCTGTGTTAGGCCACAAAACACGTCTCCATAAATTTGAAAACATCAAAATACTACAAAGTATCTTCTCAGACCACAATGCTATCAAATTAGAAATCAACAATAGGAAGACCAAGGAAATAAAGTAAAATACATGGAAACTGAAGAATATCTTGCTTAAAAGCTACTGGGTAGTAGAATAAATAAAAGATTAATTCACAAAGTTCCTAAAAGCAGATGAGAGTAAAAATACAACATACAAAAAATCTTTGGGATGTGGCAAAAGCAGTGGTGAGAGGACAATTTATTGCAATAAATGCACACATCCAAAAAGAAGAACCAAAATCAAAACATTATTACAACATCTCCAATAATTAGGAACAGACCAGCAAAG